AACGCGGGGGTTTACAAAGTGGATTAACTAATACACGCGAGTGTGATTCTTGACTATGCTCGATAAAGGTTGATGTTGAGTGCTTCTTGCTCGACTTTTCGTGCCAACGAGTTGCTAACAAGCTGGCTGCAAAGCTCGTGTGAGCTGGTGCACTGCGAGCTTACCCCAGTAGGTCATTACTCTGCATGACTGCTTGGCCACGGGAGTTAATAAAACGAAGTAGTTTTAGTAAAACAACGCAAGTTTTAGATCAGCCAATGACAGAACGGTGGGGAAGCTTACTTTTACGTCGAGTGCAACTTCAGTTTAGGTTAAACTTTGGATGATTTTAGGAGCTAAAACAACGGGCAAAATATGTGAAAATCACAATACTAGAACTGCTTAGTAAAGTCGCTAGTCCTCCGTTGTTCTTCCAACAAACCTGAGACCTTGTGACTAGTACTAGTAATAGTTAGTACTACGTGATCTGAATAGTAGTAATCACCCAACCGACTTGCAATGAACTTGAGGCGATTTTCGTCGACGGCTGACGTTTTGGAAATATTAGCTCCAACTCTGGCTCCTGATGACATTTTCGTTTGTTCTTAAGCTGAACGGACAAACGAAAATGTCATCATTTGATTGGCTAAAATTCAATTCCTGGTTTACGCTAACCATTGAACCAGAACCGAAATTCTTACAGTACACCAGGGATTCTTACAGTAGAGAATAGAAGTATTCATTTTACTAACAGTAAACAAATGCTACAGTACAGCAGCCAGTCAAAAATTTCGCGACCAAGGCCTAATAAAGTTAACGTTACAAGAGACTGCATGAATGCCAGTTAGATTCCGTAAAGACAACAGTGTGGCCTCCCACATCGCTAAACCAAAAGCTCCGCTCGCTTTGATTCAAGTCGACATTTGCCTGGCTAATGCGGCTATTTCTTTGGAGTTTACGACATCAGACATTTCCTCGATATATATGAAGGCCACGCCTGTGGCATGGTTTTGCTAGGGCTCAAAAATCCTGCCTGCGCAAGTCAAGTTTCCAGTCGTCATTGTTACACGACTTGCGAAATCTCCTTACTACAACACCATATTTCGTTTAAGCTCAGGTTATTTCCAGTATATTTCGTCCGACGCACAACTGATTCACGCCATGTGGGTTATGCTCGCCGAACATTCGATATATTTCGTCTAGCCCCTACTTCGTTGCATGATATTTCGACTAATGGCTGGTATATATCTCCCCACAGCCGGTATATTTCGCACATTGTTCAATATATATTTCAATATATATTCAAATGATTATCCATCTATTTCGATAAATCGATGCAGTAATCGACGGAACGAAGTAGCCAATGAAATTTTCGAAAAAAACTTTCGATATAATCAAATAATAAAATGTTGAACTCTGTGTTGGCGCGCGCGAGATACTGCACTTTCAGTTTTTGCCACCACTATACGGAACGAAGTAGCCAATGAAATTTTCGAAAAAAACTTTCGATATAATCAAATAATAAAATGTTGAACTCTGTGTTGGCGCGCGCGAGATACTGTACTTTCAGTTTTTGCCACCACTATAGTGGAAATAAGTATAGGACATTCGAGCTCAACGGCCTCCAGAAGGTAAACAACGATGCAAACAAGACTTCAATTTATCCTACAAGTACACACACATCTCCTAAGACATCCGTTTTCTTAGTCACATGCCTCGAGGTAGCCATCTCGACGAGGAAGAGAACATTACAATTATGCACCTTGCAGCGCCTGAAAACTCATTTCAACACATCTGTGAATGCACTGGACGCTCCAGGAATGTCATATCAACGTTCCTGAGGCTTAAGGCAAAGCCAAACGCCAAGGAAGACCCCCGAAACTGTCGTCTGGCGACAAGCAACAACTGTTTCGTCACGCGCTGTTGTCCGTGACTGCTCGATGCATTCACCAGCAACTTTTGAGCCATCTGAACCTTAGCTACGTCAAGAGCCAGACCACACGGCATCTCACAAAGGAAGTCTTCTCGAAGCGTCAAGGTGGTGGTGGTGGTGTGATGGTCTGGGCGGCGTTTTCGGTCAGTGGAAAAACGGATTTGGTCGTATTGGACGGTCGTCAAGACAGCGAAGACTATATTTGGAGTTGTCAAATTATTTCCATTTATTTATGGCCTTGACTGCTGTTCTGCAGCAAGATGGAGCGTCGATTCATCGATCACGCGAGACGATGGTGTTTTTGGCCAACGAAAACGTCGAGGTTATGGATTGGCCATCTCTATCGCCTGATCTCAACCCCAAATAAAGCTTGTGGGGGATACTGGCATGTCCTATTTACGCAAAGGTAAACAATTCAAGTCTAAACTTGATTTTATTCAGACAATTCAAATGTCGCGGGGTTTCACGACAAATCTAATGGGTAGGTGCGGTGTAGGCAAGCATGTAATCACCAAACGCATAGTTCAGGGCAAAATGTAAAGTCGAGTTAGTTGGTTTAGCTTCAAAGAAAAGAGTATTACTAATGGATAA